TTTTCATTATTTCATTATTAATTTATTTCAAATGCTTAGACACGGATGAATTAAGGGGGATCTGAAGACGCTGCTGGACCAGGCTTGGACACCTGGTAGTGAAGTTACCAGTGGTTTAGTTGCAATAACTCCTCCTATCCGCCAGGAGGCGCCAGTATAGTTCTAGGCTGAAACGCAATAATGAACTGCTCGCCGTGTAAGCCACTAAACTTTATGGTGCTTCTTTCTCACATCCTTTCCGGACCAAGATGTCGGTATACGGGCCTATCGTGAAAATCCACCCGGTGGTTTTGGCGTCTATCGCCGATTCATACGAGAGGAGGAACGACGGGGCGATCCGAGTCATTGGGACGTTGCTCGGTAAGGTCCATTGTGGCGTCTTTCGGCTAGACTGTATTCTCTTTTTTTCCATTTCTTTGAAAGATGAAAGACACAGCTCTAGCTGGTAGCTTGCCGGTGGCGTGAAACGCATGGGTACCTTTTGCAGCCTTGCTCGCGTAGACTACGACCCACGACTGATGGATGACCTGAAGCATCGAGACTAATTCATATTTCCTCACGGTTTTAGACATCTCTGAGCTTTGCGGACAAGGTAGTGTCACACAGCAGTCATCGCGGGCGTGGAGAGACACTGGCTGTTAAATACTCGTGATCCTTGCGGGTTGTGTTGTAAACGATGTTGTGGTCTTGCTAGAATAAAAAAAAAAACAGCCCCCACTGTAATTTTGAGATGTAAATAAGATTAGTATGATCTTTATTGGATTTCTAGTAGTAACAAGTAAGAGTTAATTCCACCCCGGTAAGTAAGATTTTAACGGCAGATTAAGTTTTGTTCGGTCCTGTCCTAGCCTAGGAGGATGGGGATAAACTTCCCAACGTGTCTAAGGAGGGGAGTTCAAATGTCATTAATTCAGAACTGAAGTTAGAATAATAACGACGCTTTTTTCCTCTATGGTCTTGTTACCGGAGTCACCCCGTCGATGTACCGAATACGTTTTGATAGAAACGCGCGTTGGCAAGCCTGATTCATGTCTATTCTCTCCGTTTCGATCGTGTGATCATCCATTGCAAGTCAATTGT